TATATTTTTTAATAATTTCGGTAATTAATTTTTTGTTGCTATATAAATTTTTAATAATTCTAATATTTACTACTTTTATAATTTCTGAAATATGTATACACATCAAATAATAAATTCTAACCAGTTTTCTTTTCTTTTCTTTTTATTTTTTTTTTATTTTTTTAAAAAAGGCTAAGTTAATCAAAATAAGTCTTATTAATTTATACTGTATCTTGATTATATAGTATGTAATTTATATGCTCATGTAATCATAAAGTCAAACAAATATATCTCAAGGGAAGACAGCTGAATACTTATTCCCTCTTAAAGTGACAACAGAGAAAAAGATGAGTATTTATATATATATATATACACACACACACACACTAATAATAAGTTGCTTGTTGATTTCTATCCATAAGTTTTTTCTTTTGTCTTTTGATTATCTTATATATATATATATATATATGAGTATTAATATATAATTTTTTATTAAATATTTAAATATAATAAAATTTTATATTGAATATTCATCAGTACCAACAATATCTATTATTGTATTTTACAAATTAAATAATATTTTTTATAAAATTAATTATTAATGTGATCACTGTTACGTGCATATAGAAATTTTGTATCTGTATCAAGTGTCAAAATTATTTAAATTTAAGAAATTTATTGATAAATATATAAATTTTTACTTTATAAAATATATATATAGAGGACAAAATATGTGAAAAAAAAAATGATGAGTATTTATTATTTAACGGGTTATTAATAGGTATTAAACAAACAAGCACACTTTTTTAGACAAATTAATGTCCAAACATGTTTTCCAAAGTGGGTTATGAAATCATTACCAAAAAAAAAAAAAAAAAGGGTTTTGGCTGCAGTTATTTTTCTCTTTTTATGGTGGTTGTAGCGTCTGTAAAGCTTGGCTACAGAACCAGAAACCATCAATGAAATAATGTGCCGAAAAAAGTTGATTCAGCGATACAAATTGATCTTATACTTTAGCTTTTGAACAGTTAATACGATTCATCAAGCTTACTAATCTAGTTACGCTAATCACAAATCTCTTTCCTAATTTGAAAGTTTCAACAATGATAATACAAATACATAGTGAAGGCACACAAACATAGCACACCCAAGTAGGCATTTCCATTCGTTTGATGTACTGTTTTTGTAGCTGATATTGTTCACTCAAGCCAAGATGAGCCATAAGAACACAAACATGGGTGAGCAATTCTCCACCATTTGTGAGCTGTTGTGCATGCTCTTTCCACCCACAATGGTTGGCTGCATATGCTAACATTTCTACCCATACTTCACTTACCATCTCCCATTTTTGTTTTCTGTCCCAACCTGGTCGAGCTTCTAAGGACTGTAGCTGCCTTGCAAGTTTACACCCATCAAATAGAACTGATTTACTCTGGTCTCCTCTTTCATCTTCTGACTTATCAAATTCCACTTGTAGCAATGCCTTTGAAGCCTCCCTTTCATGATCAGGAAATCCTTTTAACTCAAATTTCAGCTCAAGAAATTTTATAAGCTCTGTACATGTGTCCTTATACCTTATCTCACCAATACCTTTGGGAAGCATAAATGGACATTCAACAAGTAGATACATCATGTAGTTTGATAAGTATTTGCTAATTAGGCAATTCGGTTCTATAACTTTGAGATTTGCTTTTTTAGGAAAATCAGCTACATAACAAAGATAAGTAGCGATATGCCAAAGAAGTAGACTATGATCAAATTCTACTTTGATTGTGCTCCAAGAAAATTCATCCAAACAATTCCTTTTTCCAAGTACATAATCACCTCTTTGAGACAAGAACTTCTTGCACAACTCAAGATCGTATCGATCATAACTGATTGTGCTACTTTTCTGCAAAACTTGTTTAAAAATTAAAGTCAGCAAGTCTTGTTTGACAGGTTTCCAAGTTATACACTTGCAATCCATATTTTCTCCATATAACCTGTAACAAAAGTTTATTAGGCTATGTTGTGCCATTGATCTTGACCACCTCTTTCGCAATTGATATGAATTTAAAGTTTTTATTTTTTCCTGTTTGGCGAGCCAACAATGTGTCCAGTCTGATAAAAGGAGCACAACAAATGCATAAATCTCAAGACTAATAGCTCCGATTAGGAGTATGTAAGTTATTTTAATGTCAATTAATGGGTAATCATGATCATCCACATTAACTGAAAAGGCGATGAATCCTGATAAAGAGGAAAAAAAGCAAATTAAACGAAGAAAAATTCCTGGGAAGGAATAAACAAAGCTTGCCTTGGTGTAGAGCTTATCGTACATAAACCCAAGCTCGATCTCTATAAGCTTGAACACATCACTTGGTTGCTTATTATGAATGATGGAGTAACTCTCCACACGTTCATAGTAGTCAAGGATAAGTTCTGCAAACAAATACCTGGATCTCTTAAATAAGTAATAAGCCTGACAAAGATAATTGCTGTTTGGCTCAACCTTTTCGTGAGTTAATAATGTATTTTCTTCTTCCTTTACCTCTCTCCTTAACACTTCCTTTTCAGTTTCTTTCTCTTTGACCAACACATACTTGATTTGAGGTTTGAACAATAATGAGTTTCTTAAATGCTTAAAGCTTGAAGACTTCAAAACACAAGTCCTCTCTAAATACTTAATAATGCCGGTGACAAATAGTGGAATGGCTATAAACGTTAGTGTTGTCTTCTTCCAAGATCTTATGAAGACATAAAATGCAATTCCAATTTGGATAAGAAGAACTAAAAAATGTCTTAACCATAACTCATTATCTTCTAAGGAATATGCAGTGATAGTGTCAGGTCCACCAAGATGCAAGAGAATAAATGGAACCCAAAATGCTTGAATGTCACGACTTGGTTTCGAATAATCATTATCCACATCACCTTGGCTTCTCGCCATATTTCCTAGTGCAGTTATAGCTACCAAATCTGCTGAAGTATATGCTGACCAAAGAAGCATACGAATTAAGAAATTTGGGCATTTCTTTCTTATTGACCCGAATACGATTAAGATGATCTGCAAACAAAGACTTAGTAAAATCATGCCTCGAATCTCCCATAAGTTCCACAAATCTCTGACTCTCTCTGAGAAATTTGACATGATCCTTTTACTTTCTCTTTCAAAGCTTCAAAACTCCTATAAGAAAAAAAAAATTATTTAAGAGATATCATTAAATACAAATTTTATTATTTATTTCTTTTAGTAAAAATATGAGTTTGAGTATTGAAATCAACCTTGATGGTCTTTTTTATTATATCATCATTACTTGTGTCTTTATGAACTTATTTTTTTGTGATTCTAGAGAAAAAAAAAAAAAAAAAAAAGATTAATGGTGTTTATTTTTATATTGAGCATAATCATCATTCATTTTTTGGAAATTATAATATATATCTATATGAGAAGCTTTATAGGGAATATAAAAAGATAGATAGATGGCAAGGATGATTGCATTTTAAAAGTGAGATTAAGTTTCTTCTACGGAGAAGGAACTAAGGATTTGAAAAAATTAAAAATTAACATTTAATTAATTTAAAGTCATTGTAATTAATTAATCATTAAATTTTTTTATTTTTTTTAAAAAAAAAAAAACATATCTATCAGTTCGCTCCATTAAACATATGTCATGCCACAAATACCATTGCAAAATAACAAAATAAAAATATGTATAATTCATTTTTTGTTATTAAATGGAATTAAAGTATAACATTCAAATTAGAAGTTGTGCTTAAGATTTTAATAAATATCAAGCAATTTATTTTTATCTTTAAATTTAAATATACAAAAGTACAATTTAACTAACTAAAGATACAATTATATATATATATATATATATAAAAGAGAGGTATAAATAATTTAATTACATAATAATTAGTGAAAATATTAGTAATAAAGAAATAATCAAAAGAGTAATGCAAGTTTCTCTAACAATATTTTCTGAATTGTAAATCATTACTTACGTAAAAGAGATCTGACCGAAAAGGAAACAAGAGAATCAATAAGTTGATTTGAGTATGCTCATGAATCCAATTCTCGAGTCGTGTGTGTCTTCTATATATAGACAACCATGTGTGTGCGTGTGCGTGTGCGTGTGCGTGCATAATTCACAAAGTTAAAGCCACCCACAATACTGTGATGACAAGTTAGGCACCAAAAAAGGACATGGCCCAAGTATCTTAACCCCCCCCCCCCCTTTTTTTTTATTTTGTTTGTAAGTAATAAAAATGATTTATGACTCGTTCCTACACCTTGGGGTTTAAGTAATGAATAGATGCCAAACATATGAGATTTTTTTTTTTTTTTTTTAATTATAATTAATCATACCAATCGATATATTAATAAATTAAATATTTAATTTTATTAAATTATATATTATAAATTAAAAATTATAATTCATAATATAGTTATTTTTATATTTATAATAAAATTTAAATTCGTAATATTTAATTAAATTATCAACTTAGCTTAACGAGCGATGCGACCCTCTAGACTCTGGGTAAAATGGGCTGACCCAATGAAGAGCAGATTCGGGGCCGGCCATTTATAATAATAATAATGATAGACATACATTTAATTTTAATTTTTGTGAGATAGAACTGTGTTATGAGTGTAATTAATCACATTTTTAGTAAGTTTATATAATCTTCTTACGAATAGTTAATTTAATATTTAAAATAAAAACATAATAATAATTTATTATCATTAATTACAAAATATTTAAATAAAATTTATTTTAAAAATGTAATGATTATGATTTTTTTAAAAAAATAAAATAAAATTATATGTTGAGAAAATTGAAAAGAATAACTTAAATTATGAGGAGAAAAGATTAATAAAAATATTCTAAATTATTTAAATAATTTTAATATGTTAATTTTACAATTTCTGAAGTACGTGAAGACATACAAATATATATCTCATCAAGCACATGGGGAAAGCAGTTGAAACCGAAACAGGAAAAGGGTATTTGCCATTCAAACACTCTTCCACCATAGGAAATGGATAAGATTTTATCGTCTATATACACACAAGTTTTTTTTTTTTTTTTTTTTACCTTTGATTATCTTAAAGAATACATATACATATATATAACTATACAATAGATATCATAAAAGGATTACTTATATTTGACGTGCATGTGTTTTCTCTTTCGGTTCATGTATTTTTTTTTTTACCCATTTATGTTTTGCCCACCAAACCAAATGCACAAAACTTTCACGAGAATTTATAAAAAAACACAAAAAATTAAAATTTGACTCCAACTCACACGATCCTTTTTAGAAGAAAAGCAATTATCCAGTTAATGAATAATTAATTTTAACTTTTTGAACAAAAATTTATATATTTCATTAATTAAATGACACGTATACATTAATCGTAACATAATTTTTTAATAAAAATTTTAAAAAATGCACAATTCGACTCAAATTTATAATTTTCTTATAAAGAAAGTAAAATGTCAATTATTCAAATAAGAAATTTTTTGTGAAAAACTCCATAAATGATTTATCTGAATACCAAATCTTCAAACTCAAACACGTGATTATTAGTTAACAAAGATAAATAGATAGTTAAATTAATACATGAATATAGAATAAAATAAAATAAAATATATATTGAGAGACTAACTCTATCCAGTACCACCAAGAACAGCCTTAAGCTTCTTCACCTGAGCATCATCAAGAAAAGTAGTCATTTCCACCAAGGAAGATGGCAAATTGTTTCCGAACAAAGCGAAATCCAGGATTTGAAGACCAGGATCTGGATTATTGAAGGTGACAATAGCTAATGCTTTTGATTTACCAGCATTCAATTGAAAATGCAATAACCCTTGTGGAAAAACCATTACATCCCCTTCCTTTAGTGTCTCAATATAAGGAGTATTAGCAGAAGAAACAAAGCCAGCTTTAATGGAACCTTCCACTACATACAAGATTTCTGATGCTGCAGGATGAGTATGCATTGGGATAACACCGCCTACTGTTAGGTCTAGCCGTGCAGTCGACAGACCAAGCCCATTAAGGCCCGGAAATTGAGCAACAAAGGCGGGAGTTACCGCAGCATTGATGATGTTGGTAGTGTTTCCAGCCATGTTTAGGCCTGAAAACACAAAGTCGCTAGCTTTGACATGGATTGGCCTAATGCATTGGAAGCCTGCAGGGGTTTCGGCACGCTTTAGATTTGCAACGCAGAAATCAGCTGCATGAGAGGAAGAGAAAAGAAAAGAGAAGAGGAAGATAATGTGAAACATGTTGTAGTATGGTCTCTGAGTATTTGTTGTGACATTCTTTTTGATAATTTTGGCTAGGTTTATATAGAGCCTGTAGTTAAAGATCAGCATGAAGGATTAGATAATGGGAGCAAAGACTATCCACCACAAATTTTATATTCTATGAAATTTTTAGCCATTTGTGTTGGCCCTACTTCGAATGTGGACAATAAGAATAGACAGAAGTTTTCTTTTTTAAGTAAATTCTTTATTAACTCAATCAAACATAATGCAAATTTTGAATTACTTTCATGATTTGAATAGAATTTTCTTGGCCGGATATGGACGTGTTAAATTAAATGAGAGAAATAAGAATGAAGGATTTGATAGTGTGGTCCAATAAGATGCACATGGGGGAAGTCATAAGAAAACATTTTTTGCCAGCTGAAACCCTAATGGCCTCCATTGAAGCTTTAATGTCTCCATCAAATTGCAACCATTGGAAGAGCATGTGGTCTACAATAGTTCCCTTCATGCTAAGGTTCATATTAATTGGATAACCCAAAATCTAAGAGGCATATGCTCTTCTCATTCTCTTCATCGATACATTGCTTGCTTCCATGGATACTATAAGATTGCAAATTTATTTGTTATTTAATAATGTTATCGAAACAATGTTAAATGACATATCAAACTAGTTATATTAAAAACTTGAGTTGATAGAAAATGATTTATTATTTATATACTAGCATACTCAGTTTCAGAAATTAAAATGCTAAATTTTTTATTTTGATATTAGTTTAAATAATTGATTAAACTGATTATTTCATAAATTTGAACATATAAAAATTAGTTCAATCAATTATTTATACTTTAATACATTCTTCTCCTAAACCAAACTTTTTATAAAGACATTTTAAATAATAAATTAAATCATTATTAATTATTTTCTTTAGCACACTGTTTCCCAATTTATCAAGAACAGTCACACCATATTTTGACTACTTTCTGAGTTGGATATTACACACACACACATATACATACACGATTATTACTGTGGGTTAATTAAATGTAAGTGTAAGTGTAAGTTAGTTGAGGCAAAATAAAAAGGAAGAGAGAGTGTGTTATGGGGCAGAGTGTGAAACAATTGAGACCCTGTCCTCACTGCACTTCCTTCCCTGACATTTCCCTCCATGCCAACCTGCTTTTGTTTCCCAACCAAACAAACCAAAACCTCTCTCTATCCAATCCTTTTTCCTCACTAGCAAATTTCTGTACCAACTTCAATTTACCAAAATATCCTCATCCTATATGCATACATATATATATATATATGTATGTATGTACGTAGGTACGTATGTATATATTACTCTTGGAAATAATTGAATGAGTTGCCGCTTAGGTAAGGGTGTGATCGGACTAAATAGTTTGCATTGAGGGTTGCAAACTATCTCTATGTACCGTTGATATACTGGTCATATGAATATCAGAGAAGCAGGTTGAAGCTTTTATGAGAAAGATATACGTATATATATATATATATATGTATATGTATAGATGGATACAGATGTGTAATCAAAATCTTTATTTTATATTATATAGTAAAGCTTCTTTAACGGCCGAAATGAGTGGTAGCAGAGGACGGAGGAAAAACTCAGAATTGATTGAAGTTCGAAGAACGCTAACAAGAAAAAGCGCACCCATTCCGTACTATAAACAGGGTTGAAGCTATTTTATACTCTTAAATTATGATACATATTAAAACATTTAAATTGGTAAATGTATCTTTCTTAAAAATTTATTATTTATAACCGTTAATATATACTGCCACCACCGTTATGTAAATTTAAATGATACACATGTTAGATTTTTTATTGAATTAATATTCATATTAAATATTATATATTTAATGACGTTTAAAATAATTAAATTTTTAAGTAAAAAATTAAAAATATAAAATATTTAATCTACAGAAAATGACTTCCCACAACTTATAAGCCTATTTGAAGTTGCTATATTGTATGTGCATTTTTTTTTTTTTTAAAAAAAAATTATTAAAAATAATAATTTTTTTTTTATAATATAAAATATTGCATTATCAAATGCCCAACACCTTATATGATGAATATTGCATTAACAGTTATAAATTAAATAAAAATATTTTTAAAAATACAGAAAATTATAAAAAAATAATATTAAATTAAGCAACATATAACATAAATCGAATTAAGTTAACATAATACTTTCAGAAATAAAATATTTGTGCCAATTAAAGTGTCTGTAAATTAAATAAAAATATAAAGTATTTTGGAATATTAAAAATGGACCAAGTATTTGGACTTTGTGTGCGTAGATACATCAGGGACAGAAGCATTAAAATCTCTTTTCTTGAAACTTTCTTGTAAGATTGCTAAATCCAAATATGTTTTTCAGGTTCGTATAATGACATGGCACTCAGTTTTAGGAGCATGATGTATACACAGCAACACCAAAGCCGCATACTAGAAAGTCCATAAAACTATAATATTCTCCCTCCATTATTTTTCTTCAATCTTTTTTCATTGACAATTTTTTCATTGATTTCTGTAAAGTTGTCAGAGACATTAGCATCCACAGAAGCAGAAACAACAGAGGTGCAGTCATAAAATAAGGACCAGACTCGCTCAGAACCCAGCTTGGAGTTTTTATTCATGCACAGGAGATTCTGCAAACAATGGATTCTGCAAAAACATACATATATATGTATGTATATACATATACACACAGAAACAGCTCAACAACAACAAAGCTTACTCCTCGGTCTCTGAAGAAGGATCTCTCCTCAAGATTCTGTTTTCTTCTTTAAATCTCTGAAATTTCTTCTTGGGTCTCATTCTCTCAAGAATTTCTGTTTGTTTTTTTTTTTTTTTTGCTTAGTATTTGTTTTGTGTTTCAGAGGATGATGAGTGCAAGAAACAGGTGCCCTTTTACAGCAATACAATGGCAAGAACTTGAACACCAAGCTCTCATCTTCAAATACTTAGTATCAGGAGTCCCTGTCCCACCTGAACTCATTTGCTTTGTCAAAAGAAGCTTGCAATACTCTTCTGTCTCCTCAAGGCTTTTTCCCCACCAACCCAGTAAGCAACAACCACTCTCTACCATTACACATGTATATATATATATATATATATATAGATAGATTGGTCCATTTATAATGAACTGTGTTTTCTTTTCTAATCCGGGTATTGTTTGTTTTGAAAAATTTTGGGGCGGGAATGGGGGATTGGGGCAGTTGGGTGGGGATATTTTCAAATGGGTTTTGGGAGAAAAGCAGATCCAGAACCAGGGAGATGCAGAAGAACAGATGGGAAAAAATGGAGGTGCTCAAAAGAGGCATACCCAGATTCTAAGTACTGTGAGAGACACATGCATAGAGGAAGAAATCGTTCAGGAAAGCCTGTGGAAGTTACTAATATATCAGCACCATCATCATCATCATCATCATCATCATCATCATCCTCATCATTATCGTCATCAATCTCTTCACTTTCATCAGTCAAGAGAAACTTTCCTAATATTCCACCCACCACCACTACTATATCATCATCACCTTTCTCTTCAACATCTGATTTATATTCCCATACCCACAACGATCTCTCCCACCTCAACCCTTTCCTTTATTCTTCTTCCTCTAGGCTTCACCATCCCGATTCTGATTTGTCACTTCAGAACAACACAACTCATCACAACTTTTTGGATTTTGGGTCTTCTCAGTCACAGACTGATAAGGATTTCAGGTTTGGTTTCTACCAACTTAAAACCCAGAAAGAAAAAGCTTCTCCATATTCATGGGATACTTTTTCTAATTGTTTGTATCCCTTTTTCTTTCCCTGCAAAATAGGTATTTTGAAGGTACAAGCGAGGGCATGGATGAGAAAAGTTTTAAAAGTTTTTTCCCAGAAGCTTCAGGGAGTATAAGAAACTTCAACAATTCATATCAACAACAGCCATGGACGACTTCCTACAAGAGCTTTCCCTCTCAAGAACCATCAATACAGCATCTCCAAACTCTTGCTTATAATCCAAACCAGTTACACCACCACGATCAGCAGCATTGTTTTGTTCTGGGTGCGGATATGAGGTCACCAACTAGGCCAATCAAAGTAGAGAAAGAAGAGTCCAAGAAACCACTTCACCACTTCTTTAGGGAATACCCACCAAATTAATCACGAAATCAACTCTCATGTTCCTTTTTTTTTTTTTTTTTTTTTCCCTTTCATGAAACGGTACCCTTGTTCGTGAAGGTAACTAAAATGAAATAATTTGATTTTTATTTATTTATACTCATGATTTTCCTTTAATTTATCTTCCCTCTGTCATGCTTTTCAATCACTTTCTTTAGCTTTGATTTTGAATTTTTTTTGTTTGTACAGATAATGTTGCAAAGGCCACAATGATGAAGCTTTATACTATGGCCGAAAAAGTACTCGGCTCGGCTGCAGAGGTCTGTGCAAAATTGTGGCCAGCAGAGGTTGATTAATAATGTAGGGCCAGTAGCAGATTGCTTTCTCGAACATATATGTCTGTGTGTGTTATGAGAGTGTTTTAGAAATGCTTCTTTTGACTGCATGCAAAATATTTGTATATTGATATGATGCTATATATATATATATATATATAGGGTCTCTTTCACTGACTTGATTGTGAGCAACACATGGCTTTCATCTTGCTTTTTTCTGATTCATAGTTTTGGGGTTACCCATTGGAGACTTGATTGATTTCTTTGATTTTTAATTAATAATAGGAGTTATTTGTTTTAAATGAAAGTATATATGTTACATAGATACAGTGAAAAATGCATCACAATCACAAAACAACTTCTTAAGAATGAAGTACAATAACTCAAGACTCTCATATAATATGAATATATATATATATATATATATATAATATCAACCATTTAATCAAAAAATAGTGAGTAATAATGAATAGGAATGAAACCGAGGTGAAAAGAATTGTCATCTTAAAATGTTATGAAAAATGTTTTGGATCTTGGGCCCAAAGGGCTTCTTTTTTGGTTGAAAAGAATGCTTGAAATCATCAAGTTAGTTTGATATCTTAAATTTGGGGTATTTTGATAAAAACATATATTATTGTAATTGAACTTTTCAATAGGGTATTTTGTATTTGTTAATACATAAGAATCAAACTTTAAACTTTAGTTTATTAGTGAGAAATACTGTCTGACCCAAAAACCCTTGAGAATTTAATTGACAAAATTCCAAAAAATAAAAAAGGTAAAAAAAAAAAATCTGCTAACCAAATTCAAAGCCAAACAAGGTGTATGAATCTATTTTTAGTACTAAAAATGGAAAGAATGAGTTGTACGGCACGGCACTTACTGAATAAAGATTTTCAAACTCTTACTAACAAAAGCAAACATCTCATTCTTAGCTATGAAAAACCGCGTTTGGTGTTTACAACCACGCAAGCTTTTCTCTTTTTGAATTCCTGCCTGCTTTCACACAACACTCATTTTCTCTTCTAAAAGACCTCTTTGGAATCTAGGACTATGCTAAACTCCGACTTCTGTTCATCCGCAACAAACAATCTTCCCCGAAAATTCTAAGCTGCCTCAGGGGAGAGACTTCCTCTTAATCTCCATGTTCACACCTAAGCCAATCCCTCATCCATATAAAACGAAACCTACCCCCCCACCAAACTCTCTAGTCATTTTTCTACCTTCTATAATAATAACCAAGGGCTTCTCATTGCCATAACCCAAATCTCAAATCCCCATCAAATGGCAAGCTAACCCTCTGGAATCCTAATATACAGTCTTAGTAGTTCCATGATTCCGACCCGATCAAATATACTACCATCATAACTATGCAGCTTGTATTACCACAAACAAACATATTGGAATTAACAAAGGCAACTAGCACTTCATAGCCAACAACACTATGGATTTATATTAGAATAACAGACACCCGAAGGAACTATCTTTCTCCCTCAAACCTCTTTTTTTTTTTTTTTGGACCACCATTAGGATAACTATCTTTTATACGTGACATTTAGGAAGTCCGGTTTCATGCTCTGCCAAAACTGCAGCAAGTTATATTCATATGAAGTTCGCCATCTAATAAAAACTGTCAGTCATGAGTGTAACCTTTCAGTCTTAAAGAAATCAGTTTAGAGAAGAAAAAGAATCACCGAGACATTCTAAGCAACCTACAAACTTAACAGAATTACCAATCAATTTGGAAGAATATGAGTAGATAGAAACATGTCTAGGCTACCGAGGAAATCTTTCTGACATGCGAGGAAGATTTTAGGTCAAACACTCAGAATGTTTTACTAAAACTGCAAAGAAACCAACTTTAAGTCTTACAAATAGAAGGTGATGTATCATGTGCTAACCTAGTAAAGAAGAACATATCCTATTTTAGTACTCAGATGAGAAGTAAAGACATCAGCAAATAAATCATTGATAATATATTCATCTGATGTATATCTTCTCTTCTCTTTCATGATATCAAACTGCAGAAACCTAAGCTGAAAACCCGATCTCCAACATTTCACGCCAGGTTGCAAACAGCTTATTAGTTCGAAAATTTTAAATTAGTCCATGAGAAGAGCAGGGCATAATCCATTAAAAGGATCCCAGCATATAATAAACCCGATTTCTATATCCACCATTTCCACAGCTTCAAAATCCAAAAATAAATCCAAAGTCCAAACATTCTCACCATCCCAAATGTAAGTGCTGAACTAATGTATTGCATGAAACCGTAAAGACATTTATTGAGGTCAAAAGGGAAGTGCACAACCACAGATAAACCCTATACTGAATAGAGGACAACTAGAAATATGAATTCTGTTGAAGTAAGCTTCATAGCCTACTTCTGCAGTTGATTCCTACAGAAAGAAAATTAATTCACCCAAAAAAGAAAAAGAAAAAAAAATGCCAACCTAAATGAACAAATTGTTAATCTACCATTAGATAGTAAAACAAACCCACATTGTTTCTCTCAAGCTGGCAAGAGCAATATAAAATCAAACAACACAAATCTTACAGAACGAATCAGGAGTCAATTTTACCACACGTGAAGAACTAGATATGGTCATTGTAATCCTTCCATGGTTTCACAACATTCACACAGGTTAGATGAAAATGGTAAAGAAAGAATGACGCAAGACGCAAAAGCTTTTCTTCTACTTTGAATTGTAAGAGATATAGATGAGACCCCGAGGAAAGAAAAAAGCCAAGAAAATAAAATATCAGAAACTGTCATCAATAATTACCATTTACAGAGGAACTGTAACTTAAAATGGAGACATCTTTACTCCAATCAATCGTGATGGCGCCACTCATCCTCGTTAAAGAATAGGAATCGGATTGCCAATGAGCCCCCAACTCTATTAAAATCCTCATCAAAAAAATTTTCTTCCAATAAACCGCGCACCTTGAGAGAAACCCTCTAGGTACAAGAACATTGGCGAAAAGACTTGTTGAGACTTTAACTGAGGAATTCAGTTAGAGCACGTTTCATACCGGTCTTTCACCTTGAGCAGCTGCCTTCTCTTAAAAACCAAGAACCCAAAAACACCAAACTGCAGTATTGCAGCAATGCCAGCGAACAACAGCCCAATCTTCTTCCCTGTGTTAAGCTTCTGCTTTGACTGTCGCAGTGGTGGTGGTGGTGGCGGTGGATGATGCCGACGCCTTCTTCTCCGGTGTGGTGGCGTTGCATTAGGGTACTCGTGGTTAAACACTGTTGGCGGCCGGGGAGGAGGAGGGGAGAATGGCGGAGACGGTGTCAAAGGTGGCAGAGGAGATGGTGTTAAAGGCGGCGGAGTCGGTGTCAATGGAGGGGATGGCGGCGGAGGTGGAGGTGGGGGTGGTGGAGGTGGAGGAGGTGGCGGAGGCGGTGGTGGAGGCGATGTGTTCTCTCCATTTTGTGATTGTGACTCGACGAGTAGGAAAGCATAGACGGTGAAAAGGAGGCCTGCAAGGACATAAAAGCTCGAAAATGGCGGCTCCATTTTGGAATATCGATCAAATGAAAAAATAAAAAATCTTCCCTCTTTCAGTCCAAATTTTGCTTCGGATTAGGGGTTTCAATGCATTCCTGCATCTGGGTTTGGCCCCTAATCCCGATTTTTCCTCTCCTTTCTTGACAAATCAGGGACTTGCAGGGCTATTTGATTAGTGTGCTAAAGAAAGCTAGGGCTTTTACATTGAAGAAAGGTCGTTTTTTTGAATCTAGGTATCTGCCAAGGATCGTTCAGGTGGAAAAATCAAGCCAAAAGGTCAAATGGGTTTGGTCCCAACATCTTGATTTCGTCCTCTTCCGCCCCCAATTCAAGACGTAGAATTTTGGTTACTAAAATAGAATCAGGGACAGCAAAACAACCAAAAAAAAAAAAAAGGTAGTCAATTTTTTGAATCTGGGTATTAATCTTTCGAAGAATCAAATGGATCTGGTCCAGATGCTTACACCAAATCTTCGAAACAGGAGAAAACGGAAGCTTAAAGGATTCCGGCGAAGAGAATCAGGGGCCTAAAACCTTAGAATAGAGTCTTCAATCTGGGTAGTTTTATTCTATAATTCAGTCCTTGAAATTGAGGAAGAAGAAGATAGATTAAGCAGAAAGAAACTACATTGATAAAGAAAGAATCTTCAACTTGCCAGAAATCAGAGAGAGGAAGAGAAGGTGGGTTTAAACGGTTGAAGAAGATGAAAGGATTTGCACAGGGAGAATCTTTTTAGGAAGTGCATGCAGGGGGAGAGAGATGGAGAGGGAGAAGATTAGTACATGACTTGTCAATGAATATCGTCAATTGGATTGGATTAATTTGTGGGCCACTTGTTTTGGATTTTGGGTTTTTGGGTTTTTTAAGAGCGACATACCTGGCCCATCCAAAATCTTTCCCATATCTTCCAAATTGGTATATTATGTATATATATATATATATATATATAGTTTCAATTTTTTTAAATATTTAAACAATGAGTAACAAAAAAATTATTTTTTTCATTTATATATAAATTTAACAAGGATTAAAAAAGAAAAAAAATTCATTTTAAAATTAATTGCATAGTCTTGCAAAATCATACAATTTAAACTATAAATTTAGTAACGAATTATACCAAAGTTTTGCAACATTCATTTTAAAAAACACACTAAACTCTACTTATATTACCTCTAAAATATATATTTTTTTCTTCTAAATACATTGTGTTTAATTTGATCATTATTTTTCTACTAACATATTAGTGGATTAAGTACTTGATTTAATTAAATCAAATATTATAAGTCAAGTTATCATCCGCTCATATTATAACTATAAAAAAACAAACTCTACATATTTAGTAAAGTTTGAACTCAGTGATCTTTAAGTAAATCCTACTTTTATCATTTTATTCTTAAAATTATTTTAAAATACTTTTTAATTAATAATAAATAAATTAAATATTTACTTTTATTTATCAACATTATATATTATGTTATTTTGATTTATAATACATTAATAAAATAATAATTATATATTAAAACTTATAATTTTAAAATAAAATATAAAA